CATCGCAAGGTGAGTGTCCCCCCCCTTCTTGGTTTCCACTCAAAAAATTGTTTAGTTCTATAATAAAAAGAATAACGATAAATGATTGTACTGAATGTAAAAAGAAGAATCAATAACATCATAAATAATGAAATTCATATACATATACCTTTTAGAGTTCATATACATATACATTTGAGAGATTATGTAATAATTAATGTAATAGAGAATGAAAGAATATACATATAAACAGAAAATAAATCTAAAATAGACAACAATGTAGATTTATTTTCTGTCGACCCTCGTGTGTGTGTGTGTGTGTGTGTGACACACACACACACACACACACACACAGAGAGAGAGAGAGAGAGAGAGAGAGAGAGAGAGAGAGAGAGAGAGAGAGAGAGAGAGAGCAGACAGGCAGACGGCTTATGCAAGGGCAGGTTGAAATTCCCCTGAGTGCCTCCAACGGCAACAGGGGCACAGTGAAAAGATCTATGGCCTGTAGGGGCATGACACAAATTTGCTGTGGGTACCGGTAGGGGCACTACGAAAACATGTGAGGCCCAAAAGACGCCAGGGGTTTATGAAACATTCCACTACTGGTCAGAGGGGCACGGCAGGGTATTTCGCATGTCGGAGGGGCGCGGCACAATTAAATGGAAAATACAGGGGCGCCAGACAAATTTTCCCAAAAAACAATGCCCCTCGGGTTTGACTTGACCATTCAAGCGGCAGTCTAATGACTCTATGAGATCCAATTTCGACTCAGCCCCGCGAATCCAATCCTCGTTTTCTTGAAAGGTTGTATCTGAGAGGGGTCTGCTTTTATCAGCGCTCCTGGCAATGACGGGGGTTGTTTCTTCAAAAAAAAAAAAAAAAAAAAAAAAAGGAAGAGAAACGAGAGCAGAATATAGAGTAGTTTTTTTTGGGAAAAAAAAAGAAAAAGTGCGGGCCAGATTTCTCTCCCGTGGCCCGTTGACCCACCAGAGTTCCACCGTGGCCAAGTCCCACAAGGGAGCAGAAATGGTGTCAAGTGTCCTGAACTGCACGTCTCCACAAACACGTCCAGATTCAGGCGTTGAGGTAGCTCAACGCTGCTAGTGGGACTTGGGCCCCGGTGACCAGAGAGCGGCTCGGTTCATGCGCCACGGAGGTCACGTGATTTTAATCATTAGCGTGGATTCGCGGAGCTTCCTGGTCGTTTTCCTTACTTCCGTTTTTTTCTGCTTTTTGACAACGGGAACGATTTTTTTTATTTTATTTTTCAGAGCTATGTTCTTCTCTCACTTTCATCATCATTTTTTATTTTTATTTTCTGAGATATCATCCTTGAGCTGACCGGCCTCACGTGATTCAGAATGATACTATTTTGTTCATCTGATTGCATCTGGATTCGAACTTGAGTCTGATTCATATTTCAACACTTCATGCGGTGTACCCACTAAGGCTAGGCCCATTCGTTTCCCTTCCCTTTTCCCTTTTCCTGTTGAGCTTTTGTCAGTCTCACACACACACACACACACACACACACACACACAGAGAGAGAGAGAGAGAGAGAGAGAGGGAGGGAGGGAGGGAGGGAGGGAATTAAGCAGTAGTTTCGGAAGCAGGAAATCGTACGATCGCTACTGCTGGTGCTGCTGCTGAATCACTGCTGATACGATAACAAGCAGTCGAAGCTTTAGCGATGATGCCGATTGAGGGTGTGGGTAAATGCGAACGAGCGGAGAGAGACGGAGGGGAGGGGCCATAGCCGAAGGTAGGTGGTGGTAGGCAAGGCACTATACCTTGTACCGTTTTGGAGGAAATTTTGACCAGAATAGAGCGTACCGTCATTATATCTGTTTTTGTTGCAACTTTCAGTCCAGATACAGTGACTATGACCATGCGGTCCACTGTGGAGGGAAAAGGGTACTAGGAGCATCGAATGTGCTAGCGTTTCCGCTTTCGTCTTTCAGGCTGTTGACGTTTTCTGTTCTTCGTTGACCTGCCAATGAGTGGTTTTTTTTTTTTTTTTTTTTTACCAAGTGAGTCATACAATACGGTCATCGTCTTTTTTTTTTTTTTTTTTTCCATTTTCTTTCTTCGTCTTCTCGATGAGTAGCCATGAGTGGGTCGGGACACGCTTCCATCTCCAATTAGGTGGTGGAGGTTGAGGCCGCCATAGCTTGCCTCTGTTGCCTGATGTGATATTATTGCTATCTTCGTGACATGGAAGTCGTCGGTGCTTGGACGCGACAGTTAAGCATGGGCTCAAACAAGTGCGCGCATGGAGACAAGCATAGCAAAACATGTACACAGAAACGGAGAAGGAGAGAGAAGAAGACGAATTTCAAGGAGTAGCGCAAAAGTAACCCGGCTTCTGAAAAATAATAATGGCGCGACAAAGCACATGAAGCGAGGACGGCGAAATTCCGGCCACCTCGCCGAAGTGGCCATCATCAGGGGATTGCTCTTCGTGGTTCTTTGATGCCTCGTTCATCTTTTGCCTATTATGTCACATTATTGCTATCTTCGTGTTTCTTTGATGCCTCGTTCATTTTTTGGTTATCTTCTAGATGAATCTGACCGCTTTTCCATATTTCTTTTCAAAAAAAAAAAAAAAAAGAGAGACTGACCACTCATATAGAATTCTTTCCATATTCTTCTTGCAGTGGTGTACCAGTTAATATGTGCGTTTGCGTTCCGTCAGACTCTGTGCTGATTCCTCCTCCTCCTCCTGCTCCTCCTCCTCCTCCTCCTCCTCGTTCTTCTTCCTCTTTTCCTATGAAACGGTAATCACCAGTTCGCAGTAGCGAATGCAGATCCCAGGGCTCGATCCCTAGTTCCCTATCTTACCTGTGCACAGTATTGATGTCAACCCGTAGACTTGAACCCGCGACCTGTAGGATGGCCAGTGGTAGGCAGGGTTTCGTAGGTCACAGCTTAGAAGGGAATCGAACTGTAGACCTGTAGGAGAGGAGTCTAGACAATTCCAAAGTCGTAGCTGTAGGATGCCTGAAGAGTCAAGGTGGTAGCTGCTACTTACCTGAAAGGGCAAAGTCGTAGCTGCTACAGTACCGAAAGGCCACTTCTAGACTTTCGGAGTTGGCCTGTGTTCAGCAGAGGCAAGTGGTCAAGTGGTGGTAGTCCACCTAGCCCAGTCAGCAGTCCCAGTTAGTCAGTCCAGTCCTGTTCAGCAAGTACCGCCTGGGACTGTGTGCACATCGTGGGCCAAGGGATACAGGGCAGACCAACGCAGCGCAGAAGTATAAATCAAGAGGCTGCGTCCAGCCATTCATTCATTCCGGCGGATGCCATGCGGAAGCGCTGCCCCAGCAGCTTGTGCGAGGAGGTCTGCAGTGCGCCCAAAGACGAAGAGGGCAGTGAAGTGTAGTGTAGCGATAGGATAGTGGCAGCCATAGCTGCCATAGCTATAGTAGCGTGTGTGTGTGTGTGTGTGTTGCGTGTAGAGTGTTGCGTGTGGGACATCCAGGGTGATCCAGAGTGCGAACAGTGAGTTGTGTGGGCGCTCAGTCGCCATAGCCAGTTTGAAGAGAACTCTTACCTGGTTACGATATCTTTGAGTACTGTGTGGGCGCATGTCGCCAGTTTGCTGTTTCGCTGTTTGCATGCATGACAAGTGTGAAGAGGTCGAGTCTGATTGCACTGGTATCGGAGCAGGTACCCGCTGTCCCATCCGCGCGATGTGTGCAGCGCTGATCGGCCATAGCTGAAGTGCCGCCCGAGGAGGCCGTCCGCCATAACGGAGCTCGAGGTCGAAGAAGACGCCGCGCACCTGCAACAAGAATACTACGAGAGAGAGAGAGAGAGAGAGAGAGAGAGAGAGAGAGAGAGAGAGAGAGAGAGAGAGAGAGAGATGAGCGATCCAAGATTGGCTGTCACTTACCTGTAAGGCGAGATTGCGGAGTCCGGTGGAGAAGGAAGACAGCGGCCATAGCCGCGGAGCTGTAACACAGAGTACCGGAGGAGAGAGAAAGGGAGGACAGAGAAGGAGGGACTGAGAAGAGAGAAGAAGAAGTGTGGAAGGAGGAGAACGAAGAAGAAGACAGACATAGCCGGGGGTGTGTATAAAAAAAAAATAATAATAAAAAATACAGCGAAAGTGAAGAGACAGAAAGTGAAGAAAGGGGGGAAGTAGACGGCGAGGGTGACGAAGGTGAAGGTGCCGGCAGCCATAGCCGAGGTGAGGAGTTGACCGGGCGTTGACCAGACCGTTGACCAGAGGGTTGACTGAGGGTTGACCAGAGGGTTGACCAGGCGTTGACCAGGGGTGTTGACCAAGCGCTGACCGGGGTTGACCGTGTTGACTCGGCGTTGACCAAGGCGTTGACCGGAGCTGCTGCCCAAGATTTTGACCAAGCTGGAAATGGTGATATCTCGTTGACCCTTCAGCCTATCCCCTTACCCTGTGGATGTGCACTTACCCCACGGTACTTGCTGAGTTGTCTGTCTACTCTTTCTGCATTGAGTCTCTTCTGTCCTAGGTGCTAGGAATCTGTGGATGAAGGATAGGGCCTTGCTGCCAAACCTACACGAGCTTAGTAGGACCAAAGCTCTACTCTGGCACTTGGAGACCTGGGCATGAGCGGCGAGCGCTCGTTAAACAACTCGTCTAGCCCAATGACCGTTACTGTCCGGCAGGTCTACTGAATTCAGTGTGGAGGGTCTGGACTCCGAGCTGTAGGCTGAAACGAAGGCCGTCTTTAAAGTGTTGAGGCCTGGTTGAGCCACTTCCCTACCGGACCCAGAAGGCTGATGATCCGTGTCTGACGACTCGACTGTCCCGAGGGATACGAACCCCTCCAAGGACCGGTACTGACCGGCGGGCTGCTTGGTGTGGCACAGGAGGCTGGACGGGCTGAGTTGTGGGCTGAAATCGCCAGAGGAACCAAGCTGATTGCGTCGTCCTGTCTGCGACGTTAAAGAATTCTTGCGGAGTTTGGGGGATCTCCTTAAATGCCTCCAGATCAGCTCTTGGTTCTGTAGTGACAGCCTTAGAGTAGTCTTCGGTTAGTAGTGGCCATAGTTGACAGGGTCTATTCCTGTGGTCCTTAGGAAGTCAGTCAGTAGGTTAGTGTGTTCGGGTAGGGCTACGTGGTGAGGAGTGGGACCCTTGTCGTGCCCCAACACCACGATGGACGACTACCCGATGTATGGGTTGCTGGTTGGGTTCTCCTTCTGGGGGACCCTCTGGCGTCTCCTCTTTCCTCTAGGATTTTGGCATACCTTTGCGTGTAGAGTAAGGCCCACTCAAGGTGGTACCGCCACCCAACCATACACGAAGGAGGAGGAGGAGAAGATGGCCGCCATCCTGCAAGAGAGGAAGGAGAAGAAGGAGACAAAGAAGAAGGCCTTGAAAGAGGAACATGCGGCCAAACTAAAGAAGATGGAAGAAGCGATGGCAAGGGAGAAAGAGAGGTTGAAAAGGGAAGAAGAAGAGAAGCTGAAGGAGGTGGATGAAGAAGAGGAAGGACCGCCACTGCAAAAGAGTGGGCAGCACAGCGGCAGCAGCAGTGATGAGATGGAGAAGAAAATTTCGGAGTGGGTCGCCAACTTATCCCTGGGTGAGGAGGAAGAGGTCGCTATGTACATCCCCAAGGGTGAGCAAGAAGCTGCCATGAAGAAATGGGAAGCAGAAGAAGATGTTATGACGCGGCGGACGATGGAGGATGAACAGAGGATGGCGTGGAAGCTCGTAGTGATGAGGGAGAAGAAGAGAAGAGTGGAGGCGGCGAATGCAGCAATGCAAGAACTAGCGAAGGTGAGGACTACCTTAACAATACAATTGACTCCGCAAGTAGATCTCCGACGCAAAGTGGAGATCATCGCCTAGAGTGCTGACCGGTTAGCTAAAGTGCAAGAAAAACACTATGAGTTTAGTCGCAGCCAGGAGATATCCGTGCGTTCGATGCGAACGGGATTACGGGATTTTGCTCGCGAACAAGTAGGCGTTGTGAAATCCGAGGTGAGTCATCGCCTCGAAAAGACTGAGCGTTTTTGTGTCGGCGTCATCGAAGGTATCAAGGTGGCCGCTCCTAAGGAGGAGAAGGCCCGTCCTCGCAGGGAGCAAGTCAAAGTCAAATTCCCTGATTCCTACAGTGGGAAAAGGGAAGAGAACTTTGACAATTGGGAGGCCAATATTAAGACCTATGTGCATTTGCAACAGGTCTCCCCGGATCAGCAGGTCTTAATTGCGATCCATGCACTTAGAGACGAGGCCCCAGTTTCGCGAGATCCCTTGTTCGTGCTGCCAACTGCAGTGACGATCCATTTGCGTACTCCTCGTTTACGTCCCTCATTGAATTCTTGAAGCTGTTGCGCGAGCGATTCGCTGATGTTGCCCGTAGTGTCAAAGCCTCAGATAGGCTCCAGACAATACACTCGCGCCAATGGAAGAGTGCAAGGGCACTCAAGGGCACAATGGATGAGTTGGTGGCTGCTCCTGACCACAAGGTCACGGAAATCCAGTTGGTCAACCTTTTCTATCGGGCTATGCCCGAAACGCTGCGTGGTCACTTCTTTGACAAGAGTCAGGACCCTGCTATGACTTATGATATACTTAGCAGGGAAGTGGTCGCGTTCGAGGCGAAGTTTGCGTCGATTTCCACCTTCTGGCACAAAGATTTAGACAAGGGCAAAAAGTGGAAGGGCCGCACTATCTCAGGGCAAGTCAAGACCAAGGATAGCCTTGTGCTCACTTTAGATGAGGGTAGTGTGGACGAGATCCCCTATGACCAGATTGAGTAGGGGTTCGAGGAGGAGGACAGTAGTGTGGGCCAGGGGAGGACTTACGCTGCTGTCGCGGCTAGAGGGAGGCCCCAAGGAGGACGAGGCCAAGGCCAAGGGGGCCGGGCCTCAAGGAGCCGGTTCGAGGGCGATCAGGGGGTTGGCGGCAGAGGAGGGAACCGCCAAGCGGGAGGTAGGGGTCAAGGTCCCTCGCAAAACCGTCCTAGGAACAGGTCTCCCTATAGAGTAGGAGGATGGCACCCAGGGCTACCTCAGGGTAGGCCGTGGGAATCTTTGGGTCTGGACCAGGCTTTATGGCAACAACGATTGAACCGGGGCCAGTGCATTTTCTGCGGTGACCCGAGGCATATCATCAAATATTGTCCTAAGTATCGAGAGACCCGAACAGCTGCTCAAGAGCCAAAAGGCAGCCACCGGTAGGGGTAGCAACTGCCCCTACCACTAGGCCATGTGGGGAAAATAGCGCTAGCCAGCAGGAGACTCCCATACCACATGTGCCTATGGCAGAGGTTGCAAGCCGGTGTCTAGACAGCTGTCCCAAGACTGCTTGTGTTAGAGTTTCGCTAGACACCTCCCTCACAGGCGTGGCGGAAGAGTTGAAGGAGAGGAGGCCCGCCTGGGCCAAGATGAAGAAGGAGAATAAAGGGCAGCTGATTTTATTAGATGCAGAGATTTTTAGAAGTAGAATAGGGGCCCTAGTAGACTCAGGGGCCACCCGCAGCTATATTAGTAGGCAGGCGCTGCAGAAGTTGAGGCTGAAACATAAGGTCCAGAAACTGACAGACCCCATAGTTAGTATCCTCGCGGACAATCGTACCATGGTTGTAGAGGATTACGTAGAGGGAGTTCAGGCGTATTTACGCCTAGAGAAAGATGGGAAGGTGGAGAAGGTCCTTCACTCCCTGACTCTCCTCGTAGAGGACAGCCTGCTGTTTGACATAGTACTGGGAATGGATTGGGGAGAGGCAGCCGGGGCAACGCTCCATCTGAAGGAGCACGAGTGTAGACTCCCTAGTTCTGCAGGCGAGGCTAAGACTTCCCCTGTTTCATGTGTCAGGAGTAGAGAATTCCTTGGCACATTGCTACCTTAGTGCCCCTGCATTCGCCAGATTGGTGAAGAAGGAGAAATTAGAGGAACAAGTCTTTGTTGCCTATGTTAGGCCCGTCACTGAGCCTACGGAAGAGAAGCCGATGGACCCTGCGTTTGCCAAGCTGCTGGAAGAGTTTAAGGATTTGACTTAGCCGCCGACCGGCACGGTGCCGCGGCCCATCCAGCACCGTATCGAGATAGAGTCTGGCAGTAGAACTCCTAAGGGTGTTGTGTATAGGATGTCCCCGCGGGAGTTAGAGGAGCTTCGCAAGCAATTAGACGAGTCCCTCGAGAAGGGTTGGATTAGGCCTTGTTCGTCTCCTTTCGGAGCGCCTGTTCTCTTTGTTCCTAAGAAAAAGGGAGAGCTGAGAATGTGCATAGACTATAGGGGTCTGAATGCTGTTACAGTAAAGAATGTTGAGCCACTGCCTAGGATCGACAATCTCTTAGATCGAGTGCAGGGGGCTAAGTATTTCTCCAAGATAGACTTAAAGTCCGGATATCATCAGATAGAGGTACACCCTGATGATCAGTATAAGACAGCCTTCCGGACTAGGTACGGGCATTATGAGTTTATAGTGATGCCCTTTGGACTRACCAATGCGCCAGCAACTTTTCAGCAGTGTATGAATGATTTGTTTAGGCCGTGGTTAGACAGATTCGTTGTAGTTTATCTAGATGACATCATAGTGTTTAGTCGGACCCTCGACGAGCATCAGGGTCATCTCAGGCAAGTCTTGGGGAAGCTGAGAGAAGCTTACTTCAAGATCAATGCAAGAAGTGCGATTGGGCGAAGACCCAAGTTTTGTATCTAGGCCACGTCTTGGACGGAGACGGCGTTAAGCGCGAAGATAGCAAGATCGCAGCGATTAGAGATTGGCCCACGCCACGTACGCTGACAGAGTTGCGCTCGTTCCTGGGCTTAGCGAATTACTATAGGAAGTTCGTAAGGAACTTCTCCACCATCGCTGCGCCCCTTTGCAGATTGCTGAGAAAAGAGACAATCTGGAAGTGCGACAAGGATTCCACGTCCGCCATGAAGAAGCTAAAGCAGGCGTTGATAGAGTATCCGGTCCTTAAGGTCGCCGATCCGTCCTTGCCTTTTGTTGTTACTACGGATGCTAGCCAGTACGGCATAGGCGCAGTGTTACAGCAAGACGATGGCAATGGCTATAGACCCGTAGAGTTCATGTCCGCTAGGATGCCTTCAGAGAAGGTTGCGACATCTACCTATGAGAGGGAACTCTACGCTCTCAGGCAAGCATTAGACCACTGGAAGCACTACTTGCTCGGGAGGCACTTCAAAGTCTATTCGGACCATGAAACGTTACGGTGGTTAAAGACCCAGGCCAAGATGACACCTAAGCTTACTAGGTGGGCCGCAAAGATAGATCAGTACGACTTTGAGCTCAAGCCTGTCAAAGGGAAGTACAACGTAGTCGCGGATGCTCTGAGTAGGAGAGCAAATTACTTTGGGGCAATAGTATATTTCCTCGATATAGGAAAGGATCTGCAGCAGAAGGTTAGCGAAGCCTACGCGCAGGACCCAATCTATAGTGAGCTCCTCACGCGAGTCAAGGAGGCCCCAGAGACCGAGCCGAACTACCCCACTACTGGGGGGTTACTCTTCGAGAAGACTAATGTCTTTGACCGGTTGTGCATCCCCAATAGCGAAGAGATCCGTAGTCTGATTCTGGGGGAATGTCACGACACAGAGGGTCATTTCGGTTGGCAAAAGACTTTGGCCAATCTGATGCGCGCGTATACCTGGCCAGGGATGAAGAATGACTGCGTAGAGTATGTTCGCAGTTGCAAAGTCTGCCAGCGTAATAAGAGTCTTACGCGCATCCCGCTAGGTCTTCTCAGACCCTTGCCCATTCTGGAGCAGCCAGGAGACTCAGTGTCAATAGATTTCATGGACACTCAAGTCAAGAGCAGGCATGGCAAGAGCCAAGTCATGGTCATAGTTGACCGCTCTAGCAAGTATGCAGTTTTTGTTCCTTTGCCTTATGAGGCGCGTACTGATTTAGTCATACAAAGGTTCTTTGACTGCTGGGTTAGTGAGAACGGAATCCCGCTGTTTATAGTTAGCGATAGAGATAGTCGCTTTACTAGCCAGAACTGGCAAGAACTCATGGGAGTATACGGATCTAAGTTGTTGATGTCGTCCGGCTGCCATCCAGAGACTAACGTTCAGACAGAGCAAATGAACAAGATCCTGCATCAAGTTCTGCGCATGTATATTAGGCCAGATCAGATTAACTGGGATGAGATGTTGCCTAAAGTAGCTAGTGCGTACAATAACAGTGTGCATCTAGCCACCTGCCGCACTCCCAACGAACTGCACAAGTCCTTTAGACCGCGCAGAACGTTTGAGGGACTCAACCGGGATCAGATTCAGAGATTGCCGCGCGGGACCCGGGAGTTCGTTGTACAGCTCGAGAAAGAACTAGCTATTGTTGTAGAAAACCTCAGGAAAGCCCAGCATAGGATGATAGAACAAGCAAACAAACATCGTCGCCCTTCACAGTTTCAAGTAGGCGACTTAGTCTGGGTTAGTTCGAAAGAGTTTGCACCTGAGGAGAACATCTCGCAAAAGTTACTGCCCACATATAGAGGACCGTGGCCTGTTCTTGAAGTCAAGGGCGGTGAAGATGGACCGTCCTATACAATAGAACTACCAGCACACCTCCACACGTATCCAGTTTTCCACGCATCGAAGTTGCTACCTTGTCAAACAAGTGATCAGTTTCCATCCCGTAGATCAATGATCCCACCTGATATGGATGGAAGGTATGACATAGACGCGGTATAGTGGCTGAGGATGTCTTCAGAACCGGAGGTAGGGATCGTCCGCAAAAACAGTACAAGGTTCATTTTAGTTATCAAGAACCGGAAGACGACCGCTGGTTTACAAGATCTGAACTTCTAGAGACAGCTCCCGATATAGTCCGGGCCTATGAAAGACAGCAGAAGGGTAAAGGTCCTGCCTTGGACTGAAATTTTCTCGAAGGACCTCGAATTTAGGCCGGCGGGAGTGAAACGGTAATCACCAGTTCGCAGTAGCGAATGCAGATCCCAGGGCTCGATCCCTAGTTCCCTATCTTACCTGTGCACAGTATTGATGTCAACC